GCATCCTTCTCTTCGAGAGGTCCAAATCCAATAACCCCAGACATTCTCAAGGTGATTAGCTTCGTAATCATAAACTTAATCACTCTCTAATCTTGATTATTATTATTAATATTATTGAGTTGTTTGTTGTGGCATTGCAGCCAGATTTGAGTGGTCCAGGCGTTGAAATTCTAGCCGCATGGACGCCTCTAGGCCCACCTTCAGGAGCTGAAGAAGATACCAGACAACTCCTTTTTAATATCATTTCAGGGACTTCAATGTCTTGCCCACATGCTACCGCTGTTGCTGCTTATGTTAAGTCGTTTCACCCTTCTTGGTCTCCGGCTGCCCTCAAATCCGCACTTATGACCACAGGTATTAACACCAACACTTGACTCGTAGCTATCTTGCAAAGAGATGCCTACGGAGCGAGATGGAAAAGCTTTTCATCTTCCCAGTCTCTTCTTGTTATTTCATTTCAGGTTCCTACAAAATTGTCTATTTATTTTTATGGAGATCCGGACATAATTTCCTCTTTGGGCTTTCTCTTATAAAGGGGGTTTCATTCTCCTCCCCAATCTCCTTCAATCCTTCTTTCTCCGATAGATGTGAGACCCCGTCAAATTCACCTCCTTGGGCCCAGCGTCCTTACTGGCACACCGTCTCGTGTCTAATACCATTTGTAATGGCCCAAGCCCACAACTAATATTATCCTCTTTGGGCTTTTCCTTTTCGGACTTCCCCTCAAGGTTTTTGGGCTTCCCCATTACGCATATGTTGAGGGAAGGTTTTTGCTCTCTTCCCCAACCAATGTGGGATATCACACTTCCACACTTCCACACTTCAAATACATATAATGTGGTAGGATAGGGATTTAGGCGGGGTTTGGGGCGAGTTCGGGGATGGAGAATATAATCACTATCCTCGGCCCTGTTTAGCTAACGGGTAAAAATCTCTCTCCACTCTCTCTCCCATTTAAATGGAGATTCTCCTCTTCGTTCAAGATTGGTCCTACAAAACAAATTGATATCTCTAAGCGTGCACTCATTTTAACAATTTCTATAGATTATTAACGTGATTAATTTAAGCTATAGATTACTAACCCAATGAATTTACGAATGCAGCATTTCCCATGAGAGCTGACCTCAACCCAGATGCAGAATTTGCATATGGCTCAGGCCATATAAACCCTTTAGGCGCAGTGAATCCCGGACTGATCTACAACGCCACTGAGATCGACTATGTAAGGTTTCTTTGTGGTCAAGGTTACAGCACCAAGTTGGTCCAGCAAGTTTCTGGGGATAATAGCTCGTGTTCTCGAGGCGATTTCGACCTAGTTTTCGATCTAAACTATCCTTCATTTGCTCTTTCCACGCCTATGTCAACCTCGATCAGCCAAGTTTATAGAAGAAGGGTCACAAATGTTGGGTCAGCGAATTCGACATATAAAGCCATAGTTTCGGGTCCTTCGGGGCTTAAAATTACACTAAATCCTTCTGTTCTTTCGTTCAAGGCCTTGGGAGAGGAGCTGAGCTTTGAGCTTACGATTGAAGGAAGCATTAGTAGGGGCATTGCGTCGGCTTCATTGGTGTGGGATGACGGGGAACATAAAGTGAAGAGTCCTATAGTAGTCTTCGATGAAAATACCTTTATTAATTAAGTTTATTATTGTATTTTTCGAATTACCCAATGTATTAAATTAATAAAAGTATGAGTTTTGTTTAGGATATTTATAAATAAAATGCATTGAATTAAATAACTGAGAATATTATCATACTTTTATATTACAATTTAAATTAATTGGCAACTAATCACATCCCTATGTAATACATTTTAGCTCTAACGGGTGTATACATGATTTTGGTGAACGGTCATATACCCCGTATTGACATGACAAGAATAGTAAAGACCTAACTACACGTGAAAATAATTAAAATGGGTTTAGAATAGGTCTGTGGCTATGAGCAACACGTCTGGACAAGCATGACAAGGACATCTCTCTTACTTTCTCCATGAACAACAGGACTAGTCCTCGTTCAAGGGAGCAATGGAACCCTGTATGATGCCTTCTTGGTATTCTAAATGACTTCGACTGGTCCATAGTAATCTTGCACCACTCGTTGGTTCTTGATATTTTGAAATTAGAGTTGATCTGACCTCAGCTTGATCAAAATTCTTTCTCTATTTTGGAATTGTAGTGGTCGACGCTTCCAACTGGACATTCTCTTCATCCATCTAAATGGTCTTTCTGTGTAAACACGAGTTACTCTAGTGTTTTGTCTCCTCCTTCAGTGAAAGTGCTAGCTTGGGGTCTCTCCCCATCATTTTGGTGATCATTGAAATGAGTCATTGTAGGTCTGATGAACCCGAGTCATTTAGCTCCTTGTGAAATTCAGTTAGCACAAGTTGAGTTGTATGACACACATATGAGATAGGCGATCTCTTCCCTAATATAGAATCAATATTGTGATCTGTCTCTTAGGTTGGGATAAATCCTTAGTATGACCTTCTTACCTGTCGTGGTGTTCCTCTAGCGATGACAATGTTTCTGTTGAAGTTAGTTCACTCGCGCTCTCCTCCTCAACCATGGCAATAGGAGTGAGCGTGAGTTCATCGTGGGTAAGGTCCCTTTTCAACTGTAGCATCGACATCATATGGTTGACCGGTGTTAGTCTGAATGATTTGGGGTTGACCCTGTTACCACTAAGCATTTCGCTAGAAGCATGAGAATGACTGTCTGTTTGAGTTGTAAATCCATCCTAACACGATGTCAAAGCATCCATCTTGACAATCACAAAATTAGTTCGTGTAGCCTAAGTCCTGAGCTTGATCAAAGTTCTTTTTACAATTCCTAAGATAGGTAGGGCTACCGAATTGATGATCTTCATTCTTCATGTATCTCGATGCTAGAAGATGTTCAACCGTTTTACTTTAGTCTTCGTCATGAGTTGTGGTTAGCTCCATATTCAACAATAGTATTCTTAGTCACTCTATGTTAACCCAGACCTCAACATATATAAGACTGAATTTCACTAGTTCTTCTATCTCTCTCACTCTCTTTTGGAGAGCAAAAAAGCATCTTAGTGTCCCCATTTGAGTTGTTCAACGTTTTCGACATTACGCTCCCACCCATGTGTCGGAAGTTGGTATATGCACTTTCTATTCTGTACGAAATCTATAAATGACTTAGTACGGACACATGAGGGTTTGTCTCGATAAGACCCATATGGATGGGTGTTCAAGATGCCTCAATGATATGATTGACACATGGATTGATTCTCGATAGACATGCCCAAGTGAGCTACGATGGTCAATAACATCCCAAAACTTGAGATGACATCAAGATATGTGAGCCGTGTTGGTTGAGAACTAAGATGACAAGATGAGATGTGACGTTGCGCATGAGAAACTTGGCCTAAAGAAGAGGTAAGGTCGAGTCGAATGATTTGACCTAATATAGAGACAGATCGACTAGAGTTGTAAATGGTTGAACATGCACGCATGAGCAATATAGGTAACCAAATAGACTTAGATTCCGCATGATTTGTGTTTGGTTGGTGAAGACAAACCTAACCTAAGATCCAAAGAAGCCACAAAGTCAGCGAAAAATATAAATGGGGCTTGGGTTGTCCTTATTAATCTTCATTTACTAAAATTAATATAAATATTAGTTAAATAAACTAATAATAATTTATCTAAATGTATATTTCATTCATTTTCACAAATAAAGTTTATTAAATAAATAAAAGTACATATTTACTAAAATTATCAATTAATTAGCTGATTAGCTAACAATATACTAGGTACACTTAATTAGTTAATTATGATTGTACAATATTAATTTTTTTTGTACTTAGGATTAATTAACAATACTGTTATTTAATATATCTCAATGTTCAAGCATAATTAATTAATTCAAACTCTAATTAATTAAATATTATATTGTCATACCTGTTATATAATTTTTTTTAATTATTTTTTATCCTTTTTTAATAATTTATTATAATTATATTGAAGTATATCTCATTTAAAATAATTTACTATTTAATTTTTAAATTATAAGTTGTATTCAATAATTACAAAAAAAAAAAATAAATAATAATAATAAATTATATAATTTTACTAAAATATTTATTTTTTTGAAATATAATTCTTTGGCTAATATTGATGACAAAATAAATTCAAAAACCTAAAATCATAAATGTTAAACTAATCATTTAATTAATTAAAATTATTTTAATAATTTAACTTAATAAAAATAAAATAAAATAAAATAATTAACAACAATAAATTATCTGACAAAAAAAAATTGAACCTTTTATTCGTAAGCATTTTAGACAAAACTTTTAACAAACAATCCTAAAAAAATTAATTTTTTATATTTAAAAGCAAAGAAAATCTAATAAAAATGCTTGCAAAAAAATTAAAAATTTTAAAAAATTAATTGATTTAGTAGATAAATTTTTTAATTTAATCTAATAAAACCACACAAACTCCCAATTTTGTCTGAATTTTTAATAATAAAAGATTATAAACTAATTTAATACAAACATTAAATTCAAAGAGAAAGAAACAGACAACCACAAATTAAATTTAAGGGCCATCATAGCTGAGAAGCCTCCGCCCACAATAAATCCTTAAATTAATTTCTATTTTTGTGAAAATTTCAAATAAATATTTTTCTCACTTGGATTTTCTATCTATAAATTTCACAAACCTTTTACATATAAAGTCTAATTATATTAAATTAAATATTATGCTTTTTAAATTTTTTTAAGTCTCTATTCACTTAAAAACCAATTTTAAATTTTTTATCCAATAACTAATTAATTTTTAGAGACATAAAAAATCAAAATAATTTAATGGTTATATTAATAATAATAATAATAATAATAATAAATTAATAATGAAATAAAATAAAATAAAAAGATGGGTGACGTGGAGCAAGGAGAATGGAAGAAAAATTAAATGAGAGAGAGAAAGGAGAGGTGGATTATTCCAACGACCAATAAGTACCTGCGAGTAGCTCACGGAAGGCGCCATGTTCGAGTTCGACGACCTTCAGATTCAGGCTCTCCATACTCTGTGTTAGGTACGTCAAAGAAATATCCTAACTGCCTTCGTACGGCACCAACAAGCGGAGAATGGAAGCGCCTTTGCTACATGGTCTCGCCGCGGCAGACTATGAGCCACTCAAGAGTTTCAGTGACGCCAATCGTGTGTTCTTCGCTGAGACGAAGAAGCTCTGGAAGATTGCGGCGCCCATTGTGTTTGGTATACTTTGCCAGTATGGAATCAACTCAGTCACTAGCATTTTCGTTGGCCATATCGGCGACGTTGAGCTTTCCGCCGTTTCTATCTCTGTTTCCGTTATAGGAACCTTCGCCTTTGGCTTCATGGTTCGTTTCTTTCTCTTCCTCTCTCGGTTCTGTTCGTGTTTTTTTTTTTTTTTTTTTCCTCTTTGTAATGTATCGGAAGGATGAGTTTCTCGGTGCTTGTTTATGGACTGTATAAGAGCAGGATTGATTACGTTATCGTTGCTGTCTCGCATATTTTTTTTTTTTCTCAAAGCAGAAAACGGATCTGTATATGCATTATCTTACAATGTCTTTCCTCTCTAGCTATATTATAAGATCACGACTGGAGAGTGGTTTTATTTCTCGTTTGGCTAAATTCTTATTACAAAATTGTTTCTGGTTTCTAGATCTGGAAAAATATTTATGATTATGTGAATTCAATCCCTAGATGTGCGCTGTTTTCTCTTGGTTGTTCTTTTCTACGTGTTCTGTCAGAATTTTTTTTTTTTTTTTTTTTTCCTGTGCTATTAGCTATGATGAAAATGTAAAACTCTAAGCCAATAAGTTTATTTCACACAAGAAGTTGAGAAATTATTCGAAGGGCTGGTGATTTGATGTAGGAGAGAACATTTTAAAATAGTATTTCGAATGAACTGTTACGAGGAGCCTATAGATTTTGAAGCAGCCACAGTGGTGGGCGGATTGAATGATTTTTCGAAGAAGTCATTCCGAGATAATGGTTTAATTTTGCACAGTATCATACGAATTTCTTTCAATGCTACTCCTCTTGTTCTGATTTTTTCTATTCTTGACTATAATTAAATTTTATTTTCCATAAAATGTAGCTTGGTATGGGAAGTGCACTGGAGACGCTGTGTGGTCAAGCTTATGGCGCTGGACAAGTTTACTTACTTGGTGTTTATATGCAACGTTCATGGATTATTCTTACGGTTTCCAGCTTCTTTATTCTACCAATTTACTGGTTTGCTGAACCAATCCTAAAGGTTCTGGGACAAACAGATGAAATATCTGAAGTTGCAGGATGGTTCACAAGGTTGCTTATTCCCGAACTCTTTTCATTGGCGATCGTTTTTCCCACCCAAAAGTTCCTTCAAGCCCAAAGCAAGGTCAATGTCCTTGCCTATATCGGGTTTGTCGTCTTATTATTACATGCTGCAATGCTCTGGCTCTTTATTTTCGTATTCAACTGGAACCTAACTGGTGCAGCTATTGCAAGCAATATTTCAAGTTGGGTTACTGCCATAGCACAAGTTATCTATGTTGTTGGTTGGTGTAAAGATGGATGGACTGGTTTGTCACGGTCGGCTTTCAATGATATATGGGCCTTTGTTGGCCTTTCCTTTTCATCCGCTGTAATGCTTTGCCTAGAACTCTGGTATATGATGAGTGTAATTATTCTTACCGGCCATCTCGATAACGCGGTATATGCCGTTGGTTCCCTTTCAATTTGGTAAGAACAGAACTTAGTGCCGTACTTCTTTTTATGTTTGGCTTATCAATGACATTATATGTTACTTATATAACATTTGTAATAGCCCTGCACCCTTCTGTAGCTTGTACAACAAAAAATTAGTTTTATGCTGAATAATGAGATTATAGAAATCGCTTGAGAATTCATAGCATGTTCATGGCACAAATGAGACTATAGAGTGATACGGGTAGGAAATAGAAACCTTATGAATTGTGAAGTATAAAGAAATGAAGAATACCTTTGCTAGGAGCTTCAATTGTAATGTAGGTACGTCTAAAATGGATTTCGAGTTTTGACTAATCCATTTACTTTTGTTTTTCCAGCATGAATATCAACGGGATCGAAGCAATGTTATTTATAGGTATCAATGCTGCCATCAGGTATGTGATCAGTCCATTAATTTCTTGTCCCTCTAAAGGCTTGTTACCACTACTGACAATTCTAATGCCAGGGATTTAAATTATGAATGTACTATTGTAATATTTGAATAGTCCTCTTGGAAGATGATCTCATATTCCAAACAACCCATGGTGTCAAAAAAAAAAAAAAAAACAGAACAATCTGCTAATATGGCATTGTTTGGGGGAATAATAATATGAGTTCACTTGAAAGATGATCTCATATGCTCATGTTGCTATTCTCATTTCTAGTGATGAACTGACGATATGATATTTAAACGCGGCTTATATGTGCACATTGGTATTTGATCTTTCAAAAATTCATTGATTGATCTGTGTATATAATAATCATCATTGGTGTACTGAATTTGCATCCAGCGTGCGGGTTTCTAATGAGCTTGGACAAGGGCATCCAGTGGCGACCAAATATTCTGTCTATGTTACAGTGTTTCAGTCTCTTCTTCTCGGCTTACTATCCATGGTGGTTATCTTAATCACGAAGGATAGTTTTGCTGTCATTTACACCAGCAGCAAAGAAATGCAAGCTGCTGTCTCTAAACTAGCATACCTTCTCGGAATCACGATGGTTCTTAACAGTGTCCAGCCAGTAATTTCAGGTAGCAATTCTACGATGCTTTGTAAGTATGCATTTAGTTAACAAGATTTTCCCTTTATCGTTTATTTTTCCCTGAGTTTCTAGGTGTTGCTATTGGAGCTGGTTGGCAAACGTTGGTAGCATATATCAATCTTGGCTCTTATTATGCTTTTGGTCTTCCCCTTGGTTATCTTCTTGGTTATACAAAACATTTGGGAGTTCAGGTCAGTAAATTTTCATTTCCTTCTCACGAAAATGAAGGTAAAGTTTAAAATATTATATTGATCACGGGAGCCTTTTGGGAGTTCTCAACAACCTTAGATGCAGAGTATATGTTATAATATAATGCATAAACATTTTGCCATTTTTTCCTTCAGCCATATCAAATGTTTATATATTCTTTATAAGCACAGGGACTGTGGGGAGGCATGATCTGTGGACTTTCTCTCCAAACCATTCTGCTTCTGATCATACTCTATAAAACAAACTGGACCCATGAGGTAAAGTTCAATCTCTAGTAATCCTTATCTCTCTCCCTCTCTTTCTTTAACTTATAACATTGGTTTTACATCTGATATGGCAAGTCAAGACATGTTTGGAAGTGATTTTAAATATAACAAAAGTGATTATGACTATGGAAGATCACTTCCAAACAAGCTCAGCTCTTAGTATATTATTTATGGAAAACTATACAGAGAATCCTCAAATGTGTTGTGAGGATATATGATATGTGGAAAACTTAAGTGAGACACATCATTAATAAACAAAATTACACTTTGCAGGTGAATCAGTCAATAGAACGGATGAAAAGATGGGGAGGACAAGAGGTCAAAATTGTCAATTCAGCTGATTACATATGAACTAGACAGTCAGAAAACAGCTTGACCAGATTGCTCTAACTTAGTTTGGAAATTTTTTTTTGTTTTTTTTATATGATTTCTGTTCCTTAGTTCTTCATGCCGCTCTAAATGAACTTGTGCCTAGCCTAAAATTTCCCACTCCTTATTTGACGTTAAATTGGATTTATGGAAACAATTTAGATTTTTATCAAAAGATGTCATTAAGATGGTAAGATCATATCTCCACTAATGTGTATTTTGTTCAAAGTTTTTGATGTTCCATTGTTTAATCTTCAAATGTACATAACATATTCAACACATGCATATGTTGTATTGGACATTGTAGAACTTCCATTCTTTGAAACCTTTCTGTGGAACAAACATATAGAATGCTTACCTGTTATGCAGTAGGGGAAGGATGCTTGTTAAGGCAGCCAAATGACAATGTTCTTGCTATTATTATATTCTTCTATAAAATTTGATTATTTTGCTTTCTTCTCTAATTCTGAATGGTTATTTCGTAGGTTTTAGAATTTAGAGACTTAGAGGATTTTTCTTTCTTTTGATTTAATTTAAGATTCTAGAGTAGTTTATGGATTTTGGGTGAAGGGTAATTTGGTCAATTAATTAATTTTGAATGGTTATTTTGTGGGTTTTAGAATTTAGTTAGACTTAGCGGGTTTTTTTTCCCCCCTTTTTCTTTTGATTTAATTTATAAGATTCTAGAGTAGTTTATGGATTTTGGTTGAAGGGTAATTTAGTCCATTAATTAGAAAGAATAAATAAATTATATAAAAAATTACGCTATTTATTAGGTAATAATCTAAAAATGATATTAGAACTAAGAAATAAGGCAGATGGTTAAATTTAAATATCTCTTTTGAAAATAAACAAATGATAAATACAAAAGAAAAAGTTCTTATTTTAATAAAAAAACGATAGATGACAATACTCTCCACTTATAGGGATTTAAAAAGAAATCAAAGAATGAATTCGAGGGACTAAAGGAGTTTTATGAAATAATTAAAATAATAATAATAATAATAATAATAATAATAATAAACTTATCAAGAAAATTAAATCCAAAATAAATGTAAGGTAAATTTGGTTTTTTTATATCATAAAATATATAATAAATTGTTTCAAAATAGGAATTAGATTAAGTGTTATTATTTGTTCCCAAAAAAAAAACATATTTTAAAACATTCTTATATTTTTATTACCTACGTATCTCAAATTAAAATTTATTTTTATTATATTATATTTCATACCTTAATTAATTTCATTTGCATTATTTTTTTTTTTTTTTTTTAGTCTCATTTTTCAACCTATCAAAGTATTCTCTCCTCCTCACTCTTTTTAGTATGTTCGTAATTATAGATTTTGTCTATTTATTTTAAAAAAATTAATTTATTCAGTTTGTATTTTAAGATTATCTTTCGATGACATTTTATTTTTATATCTCTTTTTGTTTTTTAATAGATTATCTTTCGGTAGATTTTTTTTTAGTGATTATTAATTAGCCAAATAGATAAATTTTTTAATTTAATTTTGAAGAATTATTATTTCAAATTATTCATATTTTGGGTTGCTAAGAGTTTAAATTGATTCCTTGAACTAAGTGCAAGGATTAAAAAGAAAACAAATATCCCTTTTATGTTTGAAAATTAGGGTAAAACTGTTATTTTATAATTATATTAATTACTATATTGATTAAAAATATTTATTATTCTATATTAATAATTTTAAAAATCGTTTCCAACAAGTCAGGATGGCCGAGTGGTCTAAGGCGCCAGACTCAAGTTCTGGTCTTCGAGAGAGGGCGTGGGTTCAAATCCCACTTCTGACAACGTTTTTCATTTTATGTTTGCTTAAATGATGAACTCTTAAATCTCAAATCTATGTCAAACAATTGAAAATGATAATTTATATTTTGAAGTTTAATGGAGCTTCTGGATTATGCAAATAAATTAATTAGGAACCAAATTAATTCATAAGCCATAAAATTCAAATAAAAATATATAATTTTGTTCATTATTGGTTTACAAACTGTCACTCTTTGAACCTACTTAATTTTACAAATTAAGCCCTATAGAGCTATTCTACTTTAAATAGTGAAAATTAAGGATGTTAAAAAAAATTTGATAATTTGAAAATCCTCATTTAACTCAATAGTTCGAGTTAGATTATGAACTTATTTAAGTCGAGTTTTCATTTAAAATTTAAAATAAATGAAAACTTAATTTTCATTCATTCCCTCCACACGTTCCCTACAAAATCATAAGTTTAGAGCTTTCTCAAGCTATCTTAAATTGCCAAGACATGGCTTACCTCGGCCCCTACCTCGCTTATTGCCTGTACTACCCGAGTTGTTGCGGTTCAAATCATTTTGACAAACATTCCTCCAGAACAAGAACAAGACTTAGCACGAGCATCATTTGCACGTTTCGTGCCTCTATGACATCAATTGGACTCACTGCTTTGTGCAGTTTGATTGCTTTCAAAGACAAGAGGGGTGACACAACTCTTGACGGGTCGGTGAGACCTTACCCTCAATTTGGCATACAATTAAAATATAATGGCAAATAGTTCTTGAGAGGGAAAACGTGTGAAGTGAGAACAAAAAGGAAAACCGAGTGAACGAGACGAAAATATCATTTTCAGACAATATTCTCATGCACAACCAAATAGGTCATCTTTGATTCTCAACAATCTTATTCCCAGACCTATTAATCTCCAGCATCATTCATCAATGAACAAACAAGAAAACAATGTACATTAAATTCCAAGAAACAAATAAACAGTTCACAAACAATAATATAATACAATGTCCTCTAGAGGATGAGAGTATAAATGTAAGTGTCCACTACATTCCAGTGAGAGAAAAAGAATAGAAAAGAGTAACCATCAAGAAAGTGAATAAATATCCATGAGAGAGAAGAGGGAGTAGTAAACTTCCATGGCTCAGTGTTAAATTCAATAGTTAGATTTGCAACAAACAAACAGGATATTTGGAATAAACAAATCATGGCTACATCACAAAAACGATGCAGGAACCAACCTGTTTATAAGCCTTTGTCTATTTATTGCAGAAGAAAAATGTCGAAGTTCCATACGAGTACATGTGCAAACTAACGCTTCACCCATTGGAAGCTCTTTCTTGCTTTCGCCTTTCCTGGCTTCTTTCTTTCTACAACACGTGAATCTCGCGTCAAGAAACCAGCTACAGAGAAAATAGAACAGAAAATTTTGATCAGTAAAAATATAAATGAATGCAACTGATTGATATATATCATTCTCATCCTAGCTGACAGAAAAAACTGTGATTCGTTTTATCTTACATGCTCGCAATGGAGGACGGAAATCTGGCTCCCAATTCTGCAAGGCTCTGCTGATACCCAATTGAATAGCTCCAACTTGGCCTGTAACAGAAAGTTCAGAACTTTCACTCACTTGAAAACACATTCAAAGAGGATAGAGAGAAGGAAATTTGAATTTGGAACAGATTGAAGCAAAAAAAGGTTAACATTCAATGACTTTGGAGACTGGATAATACTCCAGAAGCAGCAAAGTCGAAACTTTAATGCATCCTTCATAATACAGTCAACATAAATGTTTCCATCCGATCATTAGACTGAGGGGCTGGCAGTAAAAGATATTATATGCTGATGACGACACAAAAGACAACCCCAGTTCTGATTTTTCATATCATGTAAAGTAAAGTAGGGTAAATCATAGGGTAAATCGATTAGATGATCAGCCACCAATAATAAATGTGCATCAACGAAAACAGGTTGAAGGAGGCAGCAATTAGATTGTGAATTAGTTAGAAGTGGCCTACTTTGGTAACTGTCATATGTGTTGATAGAGAGTTGTGGCACAGCGGGGAACATAGATAATGCGAGTAAAAAGGAGATTTTGCTTTTGTGAACAGGGGTACTCAGGTCTGGGAAAGATGGGAGGGGTATTATAAGACCAGGGCAGTCCCAAGTTCGAAGTTACCAGTTCAATCATGAAGTTCACATTTATTTGAACTTTTATGGTTGTAGAACATGAATTAAAGAAGTTTATGCATTGTACATAATTCAACGGCGACAAAGGAAAGCACAGACTGAAGTCTAATAAACATTTATTTTGTATCAATCATAATATATACTAACTTGGACATTTGTTTCAAATGCATACTCCATGTCTGAATAACAGGGTTTAATATCATGCGTTGAAACACTATACAATGAAACTGATAAGTTGCCAAGTAGTAGCAGAGGGAATTTTCTTTTTTTCTAAGAGAGCTTTTCATTAAAGAGAGAAAAGTACAAGAATTAGACGAGGTATAAGACATTAACACATTGCATGCCAAAGGAGAATTTAAACATAGTTCTTTTAATTGACATTAATAAAAAAAATACGAAATATTTCAAGAAAATGGGACAGCAAGCAGAACACAAAAACCATAACCCCCCCCCCCCCCGGAGCTCGTCTAACTCTCAAGCTTTATTCTTTATGATTCTAATGATTTCTCACTGTGCAGCCCAAAGGAGCATCCACCACATTAACAGCACAAATCAAAACAGTTTGCCTTTATACCGAAAATAATGGCCGCAAATAAGCCAACTACATTGGTCAGCTTAAGCTTTGTAGCTAGCGTTTGCTTGGGCTAAATGTTCTTGATAGCCACAAAGAAATCTTCACACAACCCAGAGAAATCTTAGAAAAGCCCAACTAGGAATGACAAAGAAAAAATAAGAACTTTTCCCAATCCGGTCTTTGCATAACATACAACTGGGAGAAGTAGCAAAAAGGGAGGTTGCTTCGAACTGCATCTACAGTACTCCTGACATGGCTTTAACCTCTCAGGAGTTGATATTATACACGCTGTTCAGAAAGCTGAAACGCCTGGAGTCTTTTATCCAAGTAATTTTCCAGGATGAGTATACTAAAGTCTATATGCTACTGTCCTTCCTACAGATTGCTGAGTTTCCTCTTGCTCAGTTTTCTTTAGATTTTTCAGGTTTTTCTTCTTCTTTTTTTTTTTTTTTTTAAAGAAAAAAGGAAACAATTCATTCATTCATAAAATGAAATTTCAAAATATGGAGAAAAAAGGCTATAGTTACAAAAAGATTGAGACAATTCACCCTTAAGATAGAGCTTAATAAATAGTAGGATCTATAGAAGTATCAGATCCCTGTTCTTTGTCAGAGAAAATTTGAGAGAGAACCAAATAGACCCCAAAAAAAGTCGGGGTAAATT